GTTCAATTTTGCGAGGATGCTTGACAGAACCACTCACCGCTCCGATTTGAGTGTCTAGTGAAGCCCAGGACATTCCGAGCCTGCAACCTGTCACAGCCGAATAACCGTTCTATCGTTCTATCCCTTCTTCATTATACTCACAGACGTTTAATGTGTGGGCTGAAGTCTTCCATTAAACTTCCGTAATGTTGCGCTAGTTCTTCAATATGACGTTAGATTGCCATTTCTCTTCACCTATTAGATATTGGTTTATGATTTTCGCACATGGGATTTTACACTTCATGCAAAACATTCGACTGGTTCCGATGGTGTTCTTTGAACAGTTGCACCTTTCGTCCGTCCGTCTGATAAACAGACCTCCGAAGAATGCAGAAGAATAAGAAACGCTGGTCAAAGTCTCAGCGATGTCAGCACATGTCTTGGAGACGAAACACAAGTGGAATGTGCAAGTTTTAATTTGGGAACTGATATTCACAACACGGCCGCTGATAGCCGGTGCAGTGGAAACTACCAAGCATTACTGGGTGATCAGAATCGAAGGTGTGGAACTGGCGAATATATGGAAAGCGGTCTTAGATAGTCCGCTGTGTATGATTTTCAACGCACGTAGAATCATCCGCAAAAACAAGGGTGGGTGGTTAATTGAAATCCCAAACAGACCAAAGTGCACAAAGTACACAAATAGCACAGCACTAGCATTTCACACAGACGGACGGAAATTGGCGAGGGTGTTTGGTTGGTTGAAATCCCAAACCGACCAAAGTGCACAAAATCGCACTTACACAAATAGCATAGCACTAGCATTTCACACAGACGGACGGAAATTGGAGACGACGTTCGACAGAAAACAGCACATGAATGGAACCAGTGCACAGCCAAGAATCTCTAACTACAGCGAAATTTGAGTTCAGTGCTTCGCCCCTGTCGTGGATTCAACAGAATAAATGCGCCAGGCCAGGAGGTCGACTGTTCAGACGAGATTGGTGTGAATGTGAACCTAAGAGGTTCATTGGGGTGCATTGGAAATGAGTCACAGATGTCAGCCATTGGGTGTGACATTTCAAATACGATGAGGTTGGTAGTGCTGGCATCTACCGAATGGCGACCTAGTTCGGAAAGGTTTCTGCCTTGAGTACGTGAGTCACAAGGCTAGCCTTAAGTATCTGCGGATCATTTGCTTTGTAGTTGGCTGTAAAGAGGGGATGTGAGGCGTCGGTTCCCAGTGCGTAGTTAGTTTGCGGTTGATTATTGATGAATTCTAAATATTTGCAGTCATACTGGTGGTTCATCTCTTTATTGGGATCTTCAAGCAATGCTCGTGTTACTTGATAGATGCAGCCGCGCCCCGCTGAGGAATATCAGGAAAAATTCCTCGAGTTTTTGTCCTTCTCTCTTGGTGCGCTGCTTTTTGATTTTTTTGACGTCTTGGATGGAACCGAGGGTTAGTGTGTCCAACCTGAGTCCGTTGACGTGTGTGAATCCTGGTTCCTTCTCCTTAGTTTTTCTGGGACTTCCCCAGGTTTGACGGATGTGTACAGTTTTCGTCAGGGGTTGACTCATTGAGTGTCGCGTCAACATTCCTAGTTGAAAGTGACGACAAATTTTTTCCGGTTGTGTTAAAGAAAGTAACTACCGTCGCGCAGTGGATTTCGTGTAAGCCAAAGTTGGAATTATGTATTTGGTTTTCCTAGAGTTCCCCAGGTCTTCTAAGGGATATTGTGCGCATTGGTTGGGTCATCATGAGTATAAAGCACTCGAAAATCGATAAATGTTTATTGGTTAAGTTTTGATATAATTATTAAGTTGTCCAGAGTCCTTCGACAACCTGCTACCTATTTTGCCCTTGTTGGGGCCAACCACTAAGGCCTAGTAAGCGGGTATCCATTTAGATGGAGGGATAAATTCCCTGGATGAGTTGTTTCGGCTCTGGGTGACTTGCTCATCCGATTGGATTCGATGTCCACATTGATATTAGGTTTACTTCGTAGCGTAGCTTGCTTGTGCAATTAATGTCTGGTTGTCTACAAAACACGTTGCCTTTGGTGGATAATAACAAATGAGTCGTTCTAAATTTTTCGCTCT